CTTCCAAGCGTGTGGCTGGGCACCTGATATTTGGAAGGCCCAAACGCCACAGGATGGCAGCCATTTTAAGGGTCATTCTGTTGAGGTGAGCCTGCGTAGACAAATGAGAATAGACACATTTGGGATTTAGTCTGACATGTATTCAATTGCGGCAGTTTTTACCTCGTTTCAGTCAATTTGGCCATTCTGTAGAAGATGCAAAGCCTGTGGACAGAAAAGAGACAAATTAGTTGGGCTTGCTCCAAATGATTCACAATTTAAATTCCACATTGAAACGCACAGCAAGTGTCCCATTTTAGACGCGATTTGAAGATTTGTACCTGTGAACAGAAATGACACAATTAGTATGCACACATGCATATTAATTCGGTTTAATTGTGCATTTAGAAATTAGTTTTGTCTACTTACCCTCTCGGCGAACGTAGCTTTCCTAGGAAGTTGGGGGAAAAAAAGCGTTTGTTGCAAGGTCGCAATGCTCGAGCAAACATTTTTGCTTTGCATGTTTGCCAGGTGCGAGCACGTTTAACGTGCTGCTTTCCATTCAAAGTGAGGAAATGTGAGTGTTTTGAGAGGCTATTAAAGAGTAAAAAGTCACCTTGTTGGAGTTCTCTGTGATGTTGCGGAGCAGGAGCAGCGTGTGGACGAGCGGAGGCTGTCGAAGGTGAGAAAGAACGATTGCCTCGTTGTCGCCGTTTAAATAGGTTTCCGGCGATGACGTCACTTCCGGGAAGGGGAAAAAATATTTAAAAGTGAAGACCCGGGCTCGAACCTGAGTTCATCAGTCCAGACTCACAGTCGTATACCATTGTGCTATTGTCTGACGGTGATACCGTCCGCTTTTACATATATATAATAAAGAAGACGAATGTGAAGGGAAAAAAATTGCTTAGGGCAAACACCAGGGCTCGAACTTGATTTCACCAGGTGGTACTCCCAGTCTTATACCATTGGGCTATTGTTTGACAGTGACACTGGCCGCTTTTACATATATATAGCAAAAAAGATGAATGTGGTGGAAAAAAAACACGAAGTGTTTAGGTCCAACACCCGGGTTCGAACTTGATTTCACCAGTCCGGACTCCCAGTCGTATACCATTGGGCCATTGTCTGACGGAGATACCTTCCGCTTTTACATGTATATAAAATAAAGAAGATGAATGTGAAGGGAAAAAATTGCTTAGGGCAAACACCAGGACTCGAACTTGAGTCCACCAGGTGGTACTCCCAGTCGTATACCACTGAGCTACTGTCCGACAGTGACCCCAATGGCTTCTACATCTATATTAACAAAGACGGTGAATGTGGGAGAAAAAAACCTTACTTAAGGCAAAGACCCAGGTTCGAACTTGAGTTAACCAGTCGGGACCCCCAGTCGTATACCATTGCGCTATTGTCTGACAGTTGTAACTTAGAAATTTTTCTGCAAAGCCTGCCCAAACCACGCCCAATTTGAGATCCACCAATCACGGCGAGGCCCTCATTTGCATAGCCAATCAACACGGCGAGGCCCTCATTTGCATAAATTTGCATAGCCAATCAGAACGCTCCGATTTGCATAGCCACGCCCACTTTCCAGAATCCGGCCAATCAGAATGCTCTAAATTTGCATATCCCCGCCCCGCAAAGGCCCAGCCAATCGGAGCAGACCTGATTTGCATAACCACACCCTCGTTTCCACCAATTACAGCATGTTATTGCCATGCTCCACCCAATTCCTCGGCCATCGGCGAATCATGAGCCATCATTCCAGCTATGCCACACCCACTTTCCTCAATTTTTCTGCCCGGGGAGAAAAAAAATCCCAGAAAAAAAAATTTTGAAAAAAAAATTTGAAAAAATATTTTTGAAAAAATTTTAGAATGTTTTTTTTTTGAAATGTTTTAAGTGATATTTTTGGAATGAAGTTGAGAGTTTAAGTGTTCTTTGTAATCAAGCTTTATTTCTTTTGCAGAACAGACAATCACAAAGCAGAGGAAAATGTTGCAAGTTGGATGGCAGTCTGCTCGTCGCTGGGTGGCGAAGTGGTCGGCTCTTAAGAACGTCGGACAGGTGCGTTGACCTGAGAGGAAAGACATCCGCGAGTTACACGCAAGTCAATGTCTTGTGCAGAAAAAGATGTTTTTGGCATGAAACTTACCATCGAGAGAGTCAAGTTGTTGGGTCTTTTGTGCAGGAAGCCGATCATGTTCACTGCTGCCTGAAGAGGAAGAGAAAAAAAAAATAGTGTTCAACTCTGCAGAGAACATGCTTGTTGAAGTGAAATGAGCCTTCTTACCAGCAGATGGCTCAGTCACATTTCGGCGCATACTCCATCGGCTTCATCTGGATGACAAAGTACAGGTGAGTAGACACCAATTACGAACCAAAATGCAGTTCCATTGTACTCGAAGCTGCCGCCGCCGCACAGGCTCTTCATTTTTCAACTTGCTTTCAAGTGATGATTCACTGGAGACTGGAATCTTTTGCAGCAACACTTGGTCCAGCATGATCAGCACCAACAGGCCAAGCTGCGACTGGTCCAGTGACTCATCCAAGGTGGTCCAACCTGCCAATGTCACAAACGAGACCCGTCAGCTACTTTTTCGTACTTTTGAACGGCAACGTTGAAAATGGAGCAGACAAGCTTGTCGCATTTGTCTCTTTGCCCAGCAGGCGGAGGGTCTGACTGGAAGCTGCACTGCACGCAGAAGGAAAGAAAAAGCAGGTGAGTGTGCTTGAAAATTCAATGTGCCGTGCTTTTTGGGTGTAGCTTCAGTCACCCGTCAGCGTGCATGACATCAGGTGGATCGTGACGCCACGTTTCCTGAGGGCCCGCACCAGCGCCACCAACAGTTCCAGGACTTGGAATTTTGCGACAGGCCCAAACCTTGAGGACAACTCGACTTCACAACGTGTTATCTGGTTCTTCAGCACCACCTGGTGGATGAGAGCGGGACAAA